GCAGACATGGAAAGGCGACTGGCGTGCCAGGCTTTGCAGCATGCACTGCTGACACCCCAAGGTCACTGTTGGGGTTCATCAGCCTGCGAGGCTCGGCCAGAGCACGGCACCCCCGGTGCAACGCTGCCCGGGCCAGGGCTGTGCTCGGCTGCGAGCGCCTGCGATGTCCAGAGGCCCTTTGGGCTCTGCCAGCAGCAGAACCCGTGCCCAGAGGTGCCCATCACGGTGCACAGCACCTGGGGTGCCCCAAAGGGCTTGAATACGCGTGGCAGCGTGGGCTCGTTTGTGCTGGAGCAGGAGTGTGACCTCGCAGGAGATCTTGCTCACAGCAAAGCCGTGCGTCTGCTCCCCGGTTCACGCTTTAACCCCCAGCCCACGCCTGCCCCGGTTGGAGAAGCTCTGGGTGGACAGGGCTTCACGCAGCTTCTCTCCATGGGTCACCGGGGGTCAGGCTTTGGCTGCTTCTAAGTCGGGATTTTGGTGTCAACAGAATTCCTAAGAGCGTTGCTGCTTTCTTTTTATATTTTTTCTTTCCATGTTGTCATTTCTGTTGAATTTGGAAGCGATGACAGGATTTGTTTTCTGTCTAGTTCAGGAGTGTTTAAAATAACCCCAAAATGTAAAGCAGGCGCGTTCCTTTCCGCTCGGCTTTTCAGGACGCAGCTGGGGGTGAGCGCTCTGCCCCATCCCCACAAAAGAGCCCTGGCCCCCTCCCAGGAGCCTGACAAGGACCCATCCCTCCCCGCTCTGGCCGCTGGCATCCCCCAAAGCCTCGCTGGCTCCCGGCAAAAATGGAACAGGGCAGCTTCTGTCGAGATTAAAATACCACGCGGATCCGCTGCACTTTTGGTTCTACATGCTTGAATGCGTTAGCATTGATTTATTTTTAATACAACCAACCACCTGTGATTTTTGAATATTATGTCTATTTGTTCTCTTTGGCAGAGGTAATTATAACGTTGTTCTTCAGCTGTGGGGTGGCCCGGGGCTGGCCAGCACCACCGGGGACCGGTGTGTGTCTCTAACGCGCTGCTCTGCCCCAATGGCGCAAAACATTGCCTTTATTTGGTGCTCCCCTGTAGCTGCACGTCGTGGGGGGCCTAAAGAGCAGGAAAAAGCTTTTTCTTTCTTTTATTTTCTATATTTTTTATCCTACTCTCCCCTGGCCCTCAGCATCCTACCCGAGTGCCCAGCCTGCCTGCCGCCACAGGCTGGGGGAAGGAGCGGAGCGGGGGGTTCAAGGTCGCAGGTGAAGATGCCGGACCCGTGGGTCCCCCCCGTACCCGCTTGCTCGCTCGGTGACGTTTCGGATCACCTTCATGGACTGACAGTACGGGCAGGAGCTCACTGCGCAAATGAGCCCCTCCTTTAATTCCACTTGCTTACACTGCTGGTTTGTCTCCCGCATAATTGTTTTTAAAGGAAAATTTAATTTTGCTTAATGGGACAAAGTTTAACACTCCATAAGCTTTGTCTTCTGCAGCCTTCCAGCTGGTAAGCTTTTTTCCTGTTTTTTTTTTTTTTTTAAATTATTTTTAAACTGGCCCAGTAAATTGTGTGTGTTTAAGAGGCACTTCTCATTAAGATGAAATACTTTGATCGCGCAGGATCATCTGTTTTTAAAGAGGTAATGATACACTACATATCCCCCCCGCCCCTCACCCCCCCAGCTACCCAAATGGCAACGGCAGCAGCAACCACGTCCCCTTGACCTGCCCAGCACGGGTGCCGGTGCCTGCTCTGCTCCGAACTGGATGAACTGGATGCAGCAACGGGAGCAATGGGAGCCGAGCGGAAGGAAAAAGGGGTCGGGAGAAGAGCCCTGAGAGGGCACAGCAGGGACCGTGAAGAAGTAAGTGGCAAATCATCTCAGGAACGGGAAAAACTTATTTATTTATTTGTTTTTAAGTACAGATGGTGTGGGGGGGAAAAAGGCTGCGAGCAGACCCAGAGACAGGGGCGCACTATATATAGATGTACAGCTGTTTCCTTCAGGTGTTATAACTCAAAAACGTAGGATGATTAATTTTGAAAGTTGAAATGTATAGCAGCTTCTGATTACATCTGAGTGTCTATAATTTAGCTACTTAGTAAAATTAACTTGACGTTTTTAGTGAGCTGCGAGGACAATAATGTGTGAAGAGACTGAAGAACAAGTTTGACTGCAAGCTCTTCCCTTGCCTCCCCCTTTTTCAGTTTGCAAAGTTTATTTTTAACTTTTCCGATTTTTCTGGCATCTTTCCTCTCAGCCAGACAAATGAGTTTGCCTCCCCCTGCTGCCAGCTAAAGACAACGCTGTTTCGGTATTGAGCTTTCAGTTCCCTCCATGGACTTGAGTGGTTTCTCAGAGCATGAGACCTCCAGGAAGGCTGTGGGACCACCCCTTAAATCCCTTTTCATATTTCAGAGAAAGCCCATCGCTGGGAACTTGTAAAACCAGCAGGTCACACCAGGGACCACAGAAAGTACAGGGCTTTATGTTGTTTAATGAAAACGCAGAGGCACAATGGTTGTGGGCAAGTACGGAACATGACAGACCTTCCCACGAACCACGGATGAGGACCAGATTATCTGGGACCTGTGTGATACCGAGCTACTGTACTGGCAACCACCCAGAACATAGGCGTGCGGGTCTGCCTGAAGGGAGGCTGCAACAGCTCCAACCATTTAATATCAAGCTACACTTTAGAAGCAAAGTGATTTAGAGCATCTTTGTGGCATTCAGAGGTAGCCTAAGAGTCTCAGACTCTTGGGAAGCCAATTTGAACACATGAGGGGAGTTATTCCGACTTGTCTTAGCTGCTGTGTGTTGTGCATGTACAACAGTCCAGGCAGGACCAGGCCCCCAGCCCTTCGCCAGCGCAATGGCTGTAACAGCGAGCTCTCTCCCCAGCCGCGTGTCGACGAGCACCAATCCATCCTCTGCGAAAGCCTATTACATGTTGGTTATTCTCTAGAGCACACTGTCCAGGGACCCAGTGTAACCACAACTCTGTGTCAAGATTTCCCAGGCTTGGTGTTAACCTTCTTGGAGGATGAGGGCAAGTTATCTGTGTAACGGGGACATCATCGACTTGGGGGGGGGGGAATCACACCCTGTGTGAAATTCATTTAGTTCAACGAAGCCATGATTGCACCATAAAGTCTGCTTTTGTATCCAACAATCAGTTTAAATTATGGTCTTGTTAGGGTTAAACGAACCTATTTTCCCAGTTCACTTTGGGCCACTGGGAGCAGGTTGCAGGTAGCCAGCTCTGCTGTGAAACCGCGTGCCCGGGCGGCTCGAGCTGCAAGGCAAAATGGGAAAGGCAGTGGGGAGGATGAGTGGAGCACAGGGGGAACGCAAGTAGGTGTGGTTTGTGCTGGTGTTCTCTGGCCTTGCCAAAATATTGCTACTCTATGTATCAACGTGGGAGGTAAAAACCCATAGTAAAAGATTTATTTAAATTTAAGAAACATTTTTTCAGAGTTTTTAGCAGGAAAATGGATTTCAAAACTGTTTGGCTGTGTCCCTCAGGTGGCCTTCTGTCCTCTCCGTACCGATCTCCGGGAGGGGGGACAGGGGATGGCGTTTTGTCAGCAGCGAGATGTCTTTCAGTTACAGCCTGAACAGCTTCCAACAGCCCCACTTGGCCGTGACAAGTGCTTCTGCCCTCCCTTACACACCCTGCCCCTATGGACTGCAGGCATTTTCGTTGAACTTGGGAAACGAACACTCTAATCGGCTTCTCTGGTCGGTAAGTGCTCAGAGTCTGAGGTTTCAAACAAAGTAACACAAAGGCATTTGTGGTTATTTTTCATTTTAATTGTCTGATTCTAAGTAATATTTTCAGACCTAGCACCAATCTAAGTTTCTAATAGGGCAGTAAGAAAGCTGAGCATCAGGCAGCTTCCAGAAGAATCTTCCAGGTATGTTTAAAAACACTGAACATTTCTCCTATTTCTACAAAACAACAACAACCGGCAGATTTTATTTTTTTAACCTACATTCTTTTAGCAGTAGAGAAACAGCTTGGAAGGTGGATCACATTCTCGATTCTTTCAGGACCTGTTTGACTATAACAACAAATGGATTTATAACACGACAAGTACAAATATAAAATTTCAAATGAGCCAACTTTAAAAAAATCTGGATTTTTCTTCAATACCGCCAGTACCTTGCTTCCATAATAAATATTAAAAACCATCTTTTACATTACAGAAAATGTTAAATAAGTTATTTACCAAAAGATTTTTTTTTTTTCTTTTTTGGTCAAAGGCTGATTCCATTGAAAGAGCTGAACAAACTTTTTTACATCAATAAATAGTAAGGCATAAAGAAGCAACCAACCATTTTTATCAGTGGAACTTTCTCCTTCAGAGAATCCTTTTTTTGCTGGTATAGGAGGGTGATTTTTGATTCTCAGCTGGTGGGACCTGGTTAGAAAAGCAGTGATTATTACTATTTCACAGTACTTCAAATGCACACAATTTGTCCCTCCCCCTGGGCCATAATGGTGCAAAAGGATCTGCAAACAGGAGCTTCTGTGTTCAGCAAATCTTCAAATTAAAGTGTAAGACTTCTGTAAGCAGAAACACTTTTTTATGTCATCACTTTCTAATTCAGGTAGGGCTGAGACAACAGTACAGCAGCTGCCCAGGGAAGTGTTTGAGGTGGAACTGCTGGGGAGAGCAAGGGAGAAGAGAGGCAGGGAAAGGTTGGAGGAAAAGGTAAGAGGGGTTGGGAAATGTACACTCATGCAGAGTGGCGTGGAGTGAAGAGGATGGGATTTAGAAGTCAAGAAGTGTATTACATCCTTCTGGAGTAAAGTCTGAACCTTCTGGGAGAAATCAAATCTGAACAGTGATTACTTAAACGCTCAAACTAATTTAATACACTGCATTAGCAAATAGCTGTTTGCAAAAGCTTTGCCTGTTGGGTCTATATTTTATAAAAAAGCACCACCAGTTATTAACACATATACAAGCTTTAAATAAGGGTGCCTTTTGTGAACTTATTCAGTAGACAGGTTATTGGACTGTGATCTGCTGAAAATAAACTACTGGAAGATGATGACAGACATGAATATTAATCTAGGAAGCATCAGAAAGGAGAGGGTTTAGCTGTTTATGTGGTCAGTCATAAAACTAATTTAAACATCAAACATTGCAGAGTATTTATCATACTAAACTGCTGTCACCCAGACTTGATTAGGTAGCAAACCTAAAGCAAATCAGACTAATTCTGCAAAATTCTACTGACACAGCAATGCCTATTTCTAATGAGTATATACCAAGGACTTAAATGCAAGCAAAAATTTTACTCACTTCCAGGTTTCCTCTTGCCTTCTTCAAGACATCATGAGTTAAAACCACTGGAAAGAAAGAAAAGATTAAAAAGAATACTGCACAGTTTTTCTATAGTCTCTGTCTTAAGACCAAATATTAAATAATGTACAAACTCCTATCTACACCACGGGCAGTGACCAGGCAACGACACACAGCCTCCCTGACACCACTTCAACTTTTTTACCAAAATCCAGAGCTGTTACTGCCTCCCGCGCCCCGGGCAGAAGCGCAGGCTGATGTACAAACCACAGCTGCAACAACCAAAACTCAGGGGCAATGCTGTACAAGCAGAGAGAGTTTGGCAAGAGCAGGAGGAGTCACTCAGGACCACAGGGCAGGTCCAAATCAGTGCCACCACTAGAATGCCATCTCCTAACCCCCCGGCCCATGTTCCATCCAGCACATGATCTGCTTTTCAGAGTGAAACACCAGGGAAGTGTTTTTAAAGTTTTTCTACCACACCAAAAACACTACCTGTAAAAACACGCACAGCTCATCATGGCATTTAACATCACAGAACCTCGTTCCCTCGACCTACGTCATCAAAGGAAGACTTTCTGTTAATGTCAAGAGGAGAGGGTGCAGGAGCTAACCACAGTTTGATCTCTTAGGTAGCCTGCTATGGTTAGCAGGAGGGGGAGAAAAATGGCACAGCGGAGCGGTTATGGGGGGTGATGGGCTGGGAAGAGGACAGATGGCAGAAGATGTCAGCCAGCTCCTCCAGCAGTTCAAGGACAAAGCAACCTATAAGCGCTCGGGGGAAATCGTGTGTCAGGGGCTTGCTCTGAAGGGTTCCAAGTTTGCTCTATTCTTCCAGCTAGCTTGCCTCTGCGGGGACAGCGCGAGACCTGTGAATGGAGGAGGGGATGCTTCTAAACAAAACTGATATTTAGAAATGTCAGGTTAAATATGTGATTCTCTAATCTGTGTCAGCTCCATAACTGCTGAAAAATACCAGTCACAAGTACCAATTTAATATTCCAGTCTCAAAAATAAACAATTTAGCCATAATAAAGATTTTTCATTACAATAATAAGAACCCAGCAACTCCAAGGGTATAGCTGTCATGAGATAATTATACCCTTGGCAGATTACTGCAATTTGGCACTGCATTGTTACATGTTTGGAGGTTCAGATGAGGTTTATAAGCAGTGAGTTTTCTTGCCAGAGAAAGTACACAGAAGACTGAGCCACAAGAATGTTCCAGTCTCTGCCACTAAATATATTTAGGAATACCCAACTAAATAACAGAGGGACCTTGCATATCCTCAGTGGAGCGGCCAGCTAACGGGGTGTTTGGAGAACGAAGGAAGTCAAGGTCACCTACTGCAATGCCTTTGCAGTCTTACTAGCAAAAAGAGAAAGGAAGAAATAATAAAACCAAGTGTAAGCATCCTAACCAAACCCAGCGGCTTCATATGATCCACCAGTTCTGTCGTGTCCTCGGTCAGGAATTTGTGTACAGATGCAATTTAGAAACATTTCTGCAATTGCTCTTTAAGGCAAAGGTAACTTGACATCCGTAATTCCCATAATCAATGAAACTTACAGAAAATCGTATCTAGGTCTTTCTGTGTAGCAGAGTGCTCTCTGCTCATAAAGAACACTGCTAGTAAATTCATTTCACCTGGCAAACTAGATTTTTTTCTAAATCAAAAATATTAAATTCAGTGCATGAAGAGAATTTAGAGGATGTGACACTAATAGCGAAGCTGCTGCTAGCCAGGCAGTACTTTGCATTAAGGAAATTTCAGAAAATGTAGGCTTCATTTTATTAGGACCTAGTTCAGATGAGGCTGAATGCCCTGAAAAGGAGTGAGGACAATCAGGGTAGATGTACTGTTTTCTTTTTGAATATATGGGTGGGTGGAGTGGGGATAACATTTTGGCCATAAGAATAAAATGTCACTCTGCCCAGCCCTACTGAAATCACCCAGTATGTCTGAGATGTCACTGGAACTAGGAAGTGACCAAACTAACACAGTAAATCTACCCCAGGGATATTATTTGGACAGACAGAATAGAATAGCTTTGATTCTTATATGACAACCCCAAACTGAGCTACGTGACATTAAAACCTGAACAAATCATAATTTTGGATTTAAGTAACTTGTACCTCATTTAATACCCCAATTCTGAAAGAAGTGACCAAAAACCAGCCCATAAATGCTTAAAAAAAATAATCTGCAGGCATAAGATACATGTACCTTAGATATAAAAACTACAGGCTATGGAGCAAAATAACATTTATTCCTCTAAAATGCATTTAAGTGACTTGAATAACTTCCAGTATTATGGCCATTTTCATAACTTTGTGTGATGTGTAACATTGTACAGCCTAGATGAATTACTGATAATACAGGTGCCATTCCAGCATAGACTAATGAGTGATGTAGTCCCACCTCTTAAGGTAAAGATAGATTTATTTTTTTTTTAAGAAGAAAATTAAATCCTCCTCCTGCAATAAACATAATGCCATAGCATGAAGGTCAAGGAGGTTAGCTCCATTCAGATCTCTTCTGATGAGTGATTAAACTCTAAAGCAGAAGAGATGGATCTCTTAAAACAGCCACCTGGCTTAACACAGCTACGATATAGCCTGTGTCCCACTTGTTTTCACATTTCCACATAATTTTCTAGATAGGGCTGCTAAGGGTAAAATATCACTTCACAGCATGTCCTAATTTTTCTTTAAAATATGACTCATAGTAAGCTTTTGTTTCCCTTGTTCTGAGCCTTCTGTGCTCTGCGCTTCTGTCTGGTATAGAGCGCTGACAAATCTCTTTTGCTGAAAAGCTTTGGCTTTTCCCGGGATTCAGCTATCTAGCACCACACATGCAACAGACAGGCACCTCAGAAAATCTAAAAGCCTAATTCCACATTTATCAAGACTGAGGCAAAATTACAATTTTGAGAAGGACAACGTCAAAAACTTTGGCTGGAATGGTCTACAGCAACAGTAACTTGGCCTCTGTCAGGAACTGTTGCAGGATTGAAAACCTGAGGAATGGCAGCATCCGAAATGGAATAACTCAAGTAATTAGTGGCAATTAATGGCAGCTGCATGGATTGACACATTACCAATGGGTTGTGTAAAACCATGAACTGTTTTCATACTATTCCATGCAGCCTTTCATAGTTGGGCAACTTCCTTCCCTAGGAATGAGGCTCCATCAGTTCTGCACAGTCTGAACCCCATGAATTTTGTCACTAACAACTGAGTGCGCACAAGGAAACGCCAGACAGAGCAACTGCAAAAGAATGGGTGCCTATATTCACCGTGTTGTTTCTCCAACTTTAGAGGTAGCTACAGACTACAAAAATAAAAAAAGGAACCAGTAATAAAGCATACACTTACACTGGTCGATGATGACTTTCTCCATGTTTTCCTTCAGCTGGTTTGTGGAGTGCAAGCGTTTCACTGTGCTGTGCAACTTCTTCTCTTGCTCGGACAGTTTCTTACGTAACCTAAATATTTCTGCTTTCATTCCTTCATCCTACATTGAGAGAAGAAAATATTATATTAAAACATTATATAAAGATACTTTGCACATTGCTAATTGCTAAATACAGAGAAGAAAATGTTACATTAAAGCATTATATAAAAGTACTTTGTTAATTGTTAAATACCTTTGTGCAGGAGCCCTCAAGCTCCCTTAGAGTATGAACAACTTAAAGGAGTGAAACATCAGTGAGTGCCTGTCCTTCCACATTCACATCCCCAGTGACATAAGATTCTATGACATCTGCCAAGAGACAACTACAATTCTTAGCTGGCTTTTAGTGCAGTTAATTTTCCTGCTAGTCTGAGAAAAGTCTTAAGACCAGCACCTATTTTTGTTTTTAAACTTTCATATAGCTGTCTATATAGAATATACACATAAGGATGAAAATGGAAGTATACACTTGTCAAGACATCCCAAATAGGGAGCTGAAACATTAGTCAAGTATCTTAGCATAGTTCATTCTTACTGCTTGGGTGATGTTACACATTTAAGGATGCCAGAAAACAACAACCAAAATGTTATTAAAATTATATATAAAATGTTTACTTTCCTGAAGTTGTTTTGTTTTCCAGCAATATCCTGCCTCCTTTAAGAAACACATACAAAAACCGCAGTGAAAACACTTTAGATTTATTTTCAAGCCAGAGTTTGAAACAGTTCCATTACTGAATGGTGGTATTATGACAGTATAGATAATTCATTCCTCATTCAGTTTACTTCCATTCATTTGCATACTGCAATCCTTTTTAGTTAAAATGTTATAAAACTTGTCACACTTTTAAAAAAGCATCCTATTTTACAGCTTAGGCATCAAAAACCTAAAAGGAAAATGTAGCTCCGATTACATCAAAGTTGCTGAAATTTCTGTTGTTACTACTATGTACGTAACCAAATTGAATTTGGTTCTACAACAGGGAGTCCAAACCTTTCCTTGTTGAAATGGAATGTTTGCCACCTGCCTAGGTTTCCTGAATATCATGGAACAGGGTTACAGATTACATCTTTAATATAAAGTATTTTGTAATTAAACACCCTGGTATAAAACAGGATCAGGATGGAAAGCCAGCACACATTCAGCCTTTGCCTTCAGTGATGAGAGCTTGCTAAATCCACGTGTCCAGAGACGGAGCATCCTGGGTTCATGACTTTTCACAAGATTTTCCCAAATGACATGTTCCTAACTGGTGCCTCTTGCTTGATGCATTACAATGGTTAAAAAAACAAAAAACCAAACACCAAAAAACCCCAAATGAAACATCATAGTACCTGAGCGCCATGCGTAGTCCCAGGTACAGCTTTCAATGGAAGGGAAACTCTCCAGAGAAGTTTCAGTAAACGTGCAGCCTCTTCTAAAATCTGCTGTACTGTGTGAGTATTTGCAGAAAAGCTATGCAGTGATGCCTGGTCTGGTACCTATATCATAGGATTAGAGACATGTTATATTTTATGCTTAAAACATTATGAAAATGTAATCTTAATTAATGGTTTAAATCCAGTTGGTATGATTTCATATTTAAGATGATGTACACAGCTATTGTGTGCCACAAAAGCCAACTTGTTCGTTTACAAAGACTGCTGAATTATGCATTATCTGAGAACTTCAGGAAAGGAGGGAGTTTGTCCTAATCAATAACCATGATTAATAATAGATTATATTTACTAGATCTGCTATGCCACATGGTAATAGTTGGCAACTCTTTTCTTTCTCCATTTGCATTTCGTGTCACGTTATTTGAAAGTCAAATGATTACAGACATCAATTTAAGCAATATAGATGTTTCTTCCTTAGCAGCCCCTTTAAACTGTTCCATTTAATGCTAAAATAACTATCAGGACACACATAAAATGTTTTCCTCTGCTGACAGATGAGAAAACCAAATTGAAGAAATTGCATAAATGTGAAATAAAGGAGGGAAAGAATGCAAAGGGAGCAAATGAATTACCAAAGCAATGGTGATACAGAAGGGGGAAGGATAATGAAAGAAAAGCATTCACAGTTCCTGCCCCATGCAGCTTATCATTTCAATACTTATTTAGCATTGTTATTTAAGCAGAATCCTCCTGTCACATAAAATATCCCATTTGCTAAGTAGCTTGAAATTTCAGTGATGTAAAGCTTGATGGGAAACTGCAAATTGTGAAACTTACTGCTTTTATCTTTACACCAACAAAACAAGTTAAAAACTTACAGAGAGATTACTTTGTCAGTCATTATCAGTATCTTAACTAGGTCATTTGAAAATATATGATACTTCAGAGAGCCTTAAGTGTCATTCAGACATCATTTTACTGTGTGAGCACACATGTGATACCACAAAAAGAATTGCAGAATTGTTGAAGACTGCATCTGCAATAGCTTTCCTAATTATAATTAGGAAAATAAGTAGCGTGAATTTCTCCGTGCAGTTAAGGCCTTCTGGTTTTTGAAGAGCAGCGAGCGTGTTTTTTACAACATTCATATTATCATAAAATCACAGGGGTGAAAAGGACCTTCATTAGTCACCCAGTTTACTTTCCCACTCCAAGGCAGGAAAGGATTACAGGTAATTCTTCAAACATTCACGTAAACGTTTCTTAAAAGCACGTCCAGGAATAGTATCTCTGAGCAGCCCCCATTCCAGTGTTTCACTCTTTTTACCACTGGCACTTTGTTTTAAATGCCTGATCCAAGTGGTTTAAGTTTCTTAGCTCCTTAGTAGCTGCCACGGACATGTGCAGACTGTTCCTTCCCTTCTGTTGAAGCTTGTAGGTAGATCTGTTTTACTCAATCCACCCCAAATATGCTACCATTAACTGCACCCAGAAATTAACAATATTAAACAAGAAAACATTAGCATAAGTGAACACTAGTTGTTCTCCTGATTCCAGAGGAAAAAGATTGACGTTATTCAGTACAAGGCAAATATTTTATTGGTTTAAGAATTATTATGTTTAAGACTACAGCAAGAGCACCGTGACTTGATATCACTGTGTCACACACGATGCAGGAAGGATGATACCCTATGTCTTAGAAGACAATATTTGATCATTAATGAGACATTCAAGTTTCTAGACGAGCTACTGACATTGCTAAAGTGTTCAATTGATACCAGAAAGTGGAAATATATTAAAAAGCTTCCCTAATATGAAACAAACTTCATTAGCATACATCAGTCATGAATGTACAGTTAGCACCTGGTGTTACTAAAGGGCTGAATATGAGTAAGTGGGGAACTTTAACAGCTGTATATCAGATTTCTTTTAACTGTCTCATATTCCCTGGGTTTATCCCAAGCCTTCATTACAAGAAAATCACCTTAATTATTTTTATCCTTAGGTTACATACCATGCCCTTATGATACATACCCCTAGATTAAGCCCTTTCTGAAGCACTTCAGAGTTTCAACTGGGGTTTTTTTGTTGTGGTTTTTATATGTCTTTTTTATCGTTTCCAGTGTAACAATCACCAATTTCCATAGTAAAAGCAAGTAGTTCTACCTCGTTTCAAGTTGCAAGTAAAAGTGAGATTGCTTATTAAAGGACCAGAATTAACTAATTTATCCGTAGCCTCATTAACCCAGCATCACAAATAGGTGCCTGAATGTAGATGAGACTTGGACTGTCAAGGTTGAGGTGTCCTGGCAGAGTTATTCAGTTAATGGTGCCTGCTGCACCATTAACCTAGTTCTTTGCTTTTGTAACCTATACATTTCGCACCTCAAGGTAAATTCACCACCCTCTAACAGCTTTCACTGTTTACCTTTACTCCAGGCTCCTGCAGTTTCGTACCAGTGACCTCTCTTAAAGAAATCTCCATTTCTGCTAAAACCTGTTGGCCTTCTGAAATCTGTTTCCGCAGAGCGTTGTAATCCTCAATCAAGCCAAGAACGTGGCGCCCATTTTTGTCTGCCCACATACGATGTCCAGGCACAAGCCGAGGGGTACATGCCGTGCTGGAAGATGAAGTACTACTGCAGTGTGAAGTGCTCTCTAAATCGTCTTTAGAGGCTGAGCGCGTACCTGGGACAGAAAAATAGTTTAATTTTTTTTATCCTTACATGTAGGACTAACTGACACCAGACTTCTCTTAAATAGCAAGTCTGTGATACTGATACCACGCATGTTTAAAATACTTTCAATGTACCTGGTTTTGCTAGCGAAATGCAATGTCCATGTTTCTGCAGCACACAAATCATAGAATCATAGAATGTTTAGGGTTGGAAGGGACCACTAGTGGTCATCTAGTCCAACCCCCCTGCAGTGAGCAGGGACACTGCTAACTAGATCAGGTGGCTCAGAGCCCCATCCAACCTGGCCTTGAATGTTCCCAGGGATGGGGCCTCCACTACCTCTC